AGGCAGTCGCGGCATTGGTCCTAAATCTTGCAGTCGCGTTTGGATTCACACTTGCATACGGAGTATCAAATACTGGAACCAGCCAGGCGCGGTGCTACTCCATTGGTATACCGATTGGTGTATCAACATGGCAGTGCTGAGTGAGTTGCTTTTGTTCTGTTATCCACTTCCTTTGACGATGGGACAAGCATTGGAAGTACGGGTCGTTGAGTATGCGTGTAAATGGTCCCTGACATTGACTGTGCTGCACAACGTACGAGGCGGGCCCAAAGCCCTGGTTTTGGGCACCCGTCAACGCAGAGTCTAACAGAGATTGAACCCACAGATGGAATGACCACGACCTGATCAGCCGTAAACTCGATAAGTTGCACCGATACCATCATGCCACATGATAAACTCTTTCCCGATGATGAGTTCAGAGTAGTCTTTGCAAACTTAGGTGTCTTTACCATGTGGGTGCCCGAATCGAATGTGCACCGTCAACTACCTTAGTCCAGAAACTAGGTAGGTCCGTCAGCAGGTTGGGATGAACTGTGGCCTGTCTCCTAACCTTAAGGCATTCAAGGTACGGATAATCAAGTAAGCAATAAAGTAGGTAGGGCAAGGTGGACAACGCACGGCAGAGCACCTCGTGCTGCTGCAAGGCGGGCTGACACAGCTCGGCGTGGCTCACCGAGGTCAATCCAGGTGTGCCAGGTGTGCCAGGTGTGCTCCGCTAGCCTGGTCGTCGCCGTCCCAAGTTCACCATGCTTACTAAGACACTGAACTACATACCAGTGACACCCGTCGGTTGCGCAAAGGTGGGGCTGCTGCCAGCACCCGGCACCGCGGGGCCAAACTTTTCTGTTGCCCACCACATACCTCAAACTCGCGATGTGACTCGACCGCCTACTTCTCAAAATTCTGCGGTAGACCCTCCTTCCGCGTTGCCGCAAATCCCGACACATGATGATTGCAGGCGGAACACGGTGACCATCATGCAGGACGACGGCTTCGAGGCTCTTTTGGAGCCCTTTTACAACGGAAAGAAGCTAACAGATCCTATCTCGACCAAGGAGGACAAATTCCAGCTCTTACCTGCCTTTCTCAAGGTCAAGGGTCTTGTCAAACAGCACATCGACTCGTACAATTTCTTCGTCGAGAATGAAATCAAGGAAATTGTCCGCGCCAACCGCATTGTTCGAAGCGATGTGAACAGTTCATTCTGGCTTGAGTATGCCGCCATTCCCTGCATTGTTTTTTTGCATGAATTAGTCTAACGCCCCGCTAGGTTCACTGATATCAGAGTTGAGCGACCTAGTCGCGTCGACTTCAACGACATCAGGGCTCAGAATGAGGTTTCACCAATGGAGTGTCGTTTGCGCGACATGACCTACGCCGCACCCATCATGGTTGACATTGCCTACATTCGCGACAAATCCAAGATTGTGCGGAAGAATGTCCCACTTGGGCGCCTTCCCGTCATGTTGAAGAGCTCCATCTGCAGACTTGGTGGCGCCAACAACGCAGAGATGTCGCGCATGAATGAGTGTCCTCTCGATCCCGGCGGTTACTTCATCATCAATGGCACCGAGAAGGTCATTCTCATTCAGGAACAACTCAGCAAGAACCGTGTCATTGTCGAAGCCGACGAGAAGAACAGCGTCATCACAGCTTCAGTTACCAGTTCGACTCACGAGCGCAAGTCCAAGACGTATGTGACGCTCAAGAAGGACCGAATTCTTCTTACTGCCAACATTTTGGTGGAAGGCATCCCGATTGTCATCATCCTGAAGGCGTTGGGAGGCCTGTCAGATTACGAGATCATGCAACTCGTTGCCGGCGACAACGGAAAATATCAAGATGAATTCCTCATTCAATTCGAAGAAGCTACGAAGGTCGGTGTCTATACGCAACAGCAAGCTTTGGAGTATATCGGCGCCAGAGTAAAGATGGGCAAAAGTAGGATCCCCTTCGCCGCGCAAGTTCGAAGAAACCACGTTGAAGAAGCTCTTGACGCCTTGGCGAACCTCATCATTGCCCACGTCCCTATCGAGGGCTTGGACTTCTATCCCAAGGCCGTCTATGTGGCTTTCATGACGCGGCGCGTCCTGATGGCGCAAGCCGACCCGAGTCTCGTTGATGACCGTGACTTTGTTGGAAACAAGCGACTCGAGTTGGCTGGACAACTTCTCTCTCTTCTTTTTGAGGATTTGTTCAAGCAATTTTGCGGCAATGTCAAGAGCAGTATCGACAAGGTTCTCAAGAAGGACAACCGAGCTGTTCCCCTCGATGCCGTCAACATGATTAGCAATCACGCCAATATGATCGGTCAGGGCATCAATCGAGCTATCCAGACAGGAAACTGGACTGTCAAGCGTTTCAATATGAATCGAGCCGGTGTAACCCATGTTCTCAGCCGGCTTAGCTACATCAGTGCTCTCGGCATGATGACTCGAATCAGCTCGCAGTTTGAAAAGACCCGCAAAGTCAGTGGTCCTCGTGCTCTTCAACCTTCACAATGGGGTATGCTTTGCACTTCAGATACACCCGAAGGTGAAGCCTGTGGTTTGGTCAAGAACTTGGCTCTCATGACCCATATTACAACCAACGTCGAGGAGGCGCCGGTCAAGCGATGGGTCTTCACACTGGACGCCGGTGTAGAACCCATCCGAAACTTCTCAGGCGGCGAAATGCACCGCGAGACTTCATACGTCATCCACATCAACGGAACTCCCTTCGCATTGACCAGATACCCTAAGCGATTCGCGGGCAAGTTCAGAACAATGAGAAGGCGCGGCTGGATTTCTCCCTTCGTCAGCATTCACATCAACAATCACTTCAACGCAGTTCACATTGCCACTGACGAAGGACGCATTTGCCGACCTTACATCATTGTCAAGAACGGCAAGCCCAAGCTCAAGGAGGAACACTTGAGACTCTTGCAACTGGGTAAGGCTACGTTCGACGACTTTTTGACTCATGGCATTGTCGAGTATCTCGACGTCAACGAGGAGAACGACACTCTCGTTGCTCTCTACGAGAAGGATGTTACCCCTCTTACTACACACATGGAAATCGAGCCTTTCACTGTCCTTGGCGCAGTCGCTGGCCTCATTCCCTTCCCTCACCACAACCAATCTCCTCGAAACACCTATCAATGCGCCATGGGTAAGCAAGCTATTGGCGCCATCGCATACAACCAATTCAATCGTATCGATACCCTACTTTACACCCTTGTCTATCCGCAAAGACCGATGGTCATCTCCAAGACAATTCAGCTTGTCAACTACGATAAACTCCCAGCTGGTCAGAACGCGACTGTCATTGTCATGTCGTACTCTGGCTACGATATTGAGGACGCTTTAGTCTTGAACAAGGCATCTTGTGATCGCGGTTTCGGACGCTGCCAAGTATTCCGCAAGTACACGGCTGAGCTGCAAAAGTACCCCAACGGTAGACGCGAACGCATCGGTGATCCGGTCAACGACGAAAATGGCAGGACAACCAAGCACGAGGCCTTGGATGACGATGGTCTCGCTATTGTGGGCTACAAGGTCAATTCGGGCGAGGTCATGATCAAAAAGGAAACTCCTCTCGATACTGGATCGACAGGTATCGGCATGGATCGTGGGCCAAGCGAATTCAGAGATTCTTCCATCTCGTATAGAATTGCGGACCCGGCGTACATCGACAAGGTGATGGTATCACATACGGAGAGAGAAACGATGGTGGTCAAAGTTCAGACACGGCAAACAAGAAGACCAGAGCTTGGTGACAAGTTTTCGTCCCGTCACGGACAAAAGGGTGTTGTTGGAATTATTGTCGACCAGGAGGATCTGCCATTCTCTGATACGGGCCTGGTTCCCGACATTATCATGAACCCCCACGGTTTCCCGTCTCGTATGACTGTTGGCAAGCTGCTTGAATGCTTGACTGGCAAGGCATCGGTTTTGGACGGACGAAAAGACTACGGCTTTGGCGACGCTTTCCGCTCCCACCCCTTGGAACAGATGAGCGCTGCTTTGGTTGATCACGGTTTCTCATGGGAAGGCAAAGACTACTTCACTTCAGGCATCACTGGAGAGCCTCTAGAGGCTTACATCTTCAACGGCCCCATCTACTATCAGCGCCTGAAGCACATGGTGCAAGACAAGATGCACTCTCGTTCTCGTGGTCCCAGAGCCATTCTTACTCGCCAACCCACAGAAGGTCGTTCCAGAGACGGTGGTCTCCGTCTGGGTGAGATGGAGCGCGATTGTTTAATTGCGTACGGTGCCTCTCAGCTGCTGCTTGAGCGTCTCATGATTAGTTCCGACGGAACGCAGATCGACATTTGCCAGCAGTGCGGTTTGTTCGGTTACAAGGGTTACTGCCATACGTGCAAGAGCACCAGGGAGGTTACACAGATGACGATGCCCTACGCCGCCAAACTTCTGGTGCAGGAGCTTATCAGTATGAACGTCGGCGTGAGGCTGCAGCTCGCAGACGAGTTCCCTCATCCGAGATGATGAGATGGCGCGACGTGTATAGTACCTACAGTGTATCACGCAAATCCCGGGATATTGGAGTTTTGACAAGGACGGCGTAGGGTCTAAAAGCATAGATAGCACACGAGAAACGTAGATATCAATTGAGGATTCACAAGCAATATGATGATCTCTTCCCTGGGGCATCTCTTGACATACCCTACCAAGCTTGTCAAGTGCCATGTATCCTGAATGGCAGTTAAACGTGGTTGCGTCCGGGCCGATGTCAAAGTGGGGACCAATCCGGGCGTGCGGGTCCTTCTCCGCACCCCCGGCTTGAGGTACCTGAGCCATGGGATTTCCGAAGCTAGAGCTTCACCCCTGCGAATTCTGATCCGTCACTTACTCCGCAGCGCGCTTGTTCCTGACATCATCCTTTTCCCACCTTCACCTCTATGTGCTTTCCTTCTCCCCTACTACTTCCAGCGGTGCAAGGCTTTCTTTTTCTCTGCGTGACATCCTCTAATTTATGACTGCCGCTCTCCAGTATCCATGGCCACCTTGCGCCTCGCTACCTCGCCCGGCTTACGGGCCGCTACGACGTCGCCGCTGACCTCGCAGCTGTGGTCCAGCGCCGCCGCTGTGAATGCCTCCACCACCAGCGCGACAACCACGATTCCCTCCGCGACAGTAGCTTCTGTCGCCGCAGCTACTGCGTCTAGTACTGTCACGACGACAAAGACGATAATTCCTCCCCCGCCGTCCGTCCTGGCGCATGCGAGAAAGAAGCACGTCGAGCCGCAGGACCGCTACTTCAACCCTTCCAACGCAACCCTCTCCACCACCGGCGGCAGGCCCGGCAAGGAGCCAGGCGACGAGAACAATGCAAATTTGGGGAAAAGTACGTGTATCTTTCCAATGGAAACGAACTCCTTCAAAACGTCTTGCGCAACTAGGACTAACAGCTTCCGAATGGACAGCCCTTCGCATCCTCCAAGACCACCTACCTCGGGTCCTCCAAGCCCCGCTCCCGCAAGAGATCCTCGCCCCCAACATCTCGCTCCACCTCTTCCCGACAACGCACCCGCACCTCCCGACCGTCTCCGGCCGCGTCGCCTACACTGCCGCCCTCTGGACCTCGCCAATTGCCTGGAACCGCATGCCGCTGGTCGGGAACGTCCGCTTGTCCATCGTCTCGGAGCGCGTGACGAAGCAGCCCCTCCATTTTGCTCCGTTGCATCCCGGCGCTGTGCCGGAACAGCTAGTCGTCAGGTGGTGCGCGTCTGGCAAGAAGAGTGGCGGAGGGGTCGGCGGTGCGGCGGGATCTCCTTCGTCTGGCGCTGCAACATCGGAAGGAGGTGGCGCGAAGACGGAAGACGGCGGGGACAATGCGTTTACGGGGCTCTTCGTGTTCCAGTTTGATGCCGAGGGCAGGATACTGAGCCATACGATCGAAACGGTGCAAGAGGGCGGTGACTGGGAGAAGGGCGTCGGTGCCAAGGTCGTCGGGCTGACGGATTGGCTCCTTGGCGGGATGCGGAGGCAGGGGGAGAATCCCAGTCCTGCGTTTGAGGCTCTCGACAAGGGCAAGCAGTGAAGCTGGATCTTTCATCACTGCACGAAAGGTCGCTTCACAGAATGGTGGCGTTGTAGATAGTCGGACGAATGGCGCAACGGAAACGGCGTTTTGGATGTTTGGGAACATACCAATTTCATCATTAGGTGGGCGGCATAGCTAGCAACCCTCTCCTCTATTCATATGTACAACAGCTGTATCATCAATCTCAGAAAGAAATCCCATCCATAGTCGTCAATCTCCCAAACTCCATCCAATGCGTAAAGGGCAAAAGTATGTGTGAGTGTCAATGTCAGTGCCAGTGAGCTCCTCCTAGGTGCCCACCCTCGCAACAGACATCTTGCCACTCTTCTCCTCGTCCTCCTCAGCATGACACGCCATCACATCCGCCAAATCACCCTCCCGCACCATCAGAATCTGCGTATCCGCCAAACTAGAACTCGTCACCGTCGTCCCCAAAATCCACCCGTTCCAAATCTTTTGCATAATATTATCCGGACTCAACATAAGACACCCCTTCATCCCTTCCTCGTCCCCGGGCGTAACAGCAACCATCAACCGCTTCGCGGCCGCGAACCGATCGACAACGTGCCACAGACACCCAAAGATCTGATCCGACTCCTGCTCGGGATAGTGCAGCTCCTCGAAGGCGCAGGCGACGTGCCGCACGCGCCTCGTGTCCTCTTTGCGCAAGAAGTACACCATGGGGCTGTTGAAGCCGTACTGGTCGTAGGCCTCGAGCTCGCCGGCGAGGTAGAGGGCATCGAGGCGGAAGTTGAACCAGACGCGCGGGGGGCGGGCGATGGGGGTGTCGGAGAGGAGGGCCGAGATGCGCCAGCCAAAGGCGAGTTCGTAGTGTTTTAGGCCGAGGGCGCGGGATTCGCGGCTGATGAGGAGGATGAGGGGGCATGTTGGGTTGAAGACGAGTTTCTCCTGGTCGTCTTTGGTCTTTGTCTCTGCTTCTTCGTTTCCTCCTCCTCCTCCTCCTCCTCCTCCTCCTCCCCCTCCTCCTACTGTTGGGCTACTTGCCGATGCTGTGATGGCGGAAGAAGAAGAAGAAGAAGAAGAAGAAAAGGAGGACGGGACACCTGGTGCTGCGAGAGAGCGCTTCGCAAACGCCTCACGCCGGGCGGGCAGCCTCGCGTCGCGCTCGAAGCAGCAGGCCGTCACGACGCGGGGGGCGATGAGGTAGGACCATATCTTGAGGCGGATCTCTGGTGGCAGGTCCGGGAAGCGGTGGAAGTGCGAGAGGGTTGTGAGGGACTCTGCGCGCCGGGCGTCGAGGCCGTCGTCAAAGAGGGAGAAGTCGAGCCAGAATTTGGAGTCCGAGGTGCGTGCTTTCAGGTGGGCTTCTTCGTCCTGTAAGGGTGGAGGCGGGCTGGATGGGATGTCTGGTACGGGAGCTTGATTGATGTCCATTGTTTGAGATGAGGGGAGGATGAGATAGATCCGGGTTGATGTGCGTCGTGTTGGATGTCGGTTTGAAGATGTGAGATAAGGAGTTGGCGGGATGAGTTGGCCCTCTCTAGTGGGATCTGTGAATCAAGGAAATGAGCTTTCAGGCAGTCTGTCTCACAGGTGACCGTCCAATGCCGACTAGAAGCACCTTTGTCATAAAGACGGTGAGAGGCGATCCTGAACGTGTGATGAGGTGAGGTTGCGGAGACGGTCCGGCCGCCGGAGCTTCGCGACCGCACCACAAAACACACAGCCCACTTTCCTAATCGGGACAACTTGGCCACCTCGCCTTGGCGTTGCGCAGCGAATCACAGTGATATTCGCCGCACCCAGACTTGACGGATCCAGGTTTTTTTTTTTCTTTCTCTTAAGGAAAGGAAGGGTTGTTTGGTTTTTTCCTTGTTTCTCTTCGCCACTGGCCGGCGTCAAGTCTGTTGATGGTATTGATGTGGAATATATTGAGTAGACTTTATTCACAGAGACGATGACTACCCAGTGTCATGGTACGAATCTTAACTCTGTGCATCATCCCAACACTTCTGTGATTCTCTATTGGTTTAATCTTGTTCCCTTTGAAATCAGCCTATTTAAAAAGAAATAACTAGAGACCGCTGAATTGATGTAGCAACGCTATCCTGTCAAATATCACTACGCCTAGACGAGATCATCAACTCTTGTAACCTGAGAAAACCAAAGAAAAAGTTAACTAAAAGTCCTTCTACTTAGCCCACGCAAATCACTTCCAACCTACTCCAAATTCGACTCTCCGCCCGACAAATGCTCTCTCCTAACATTCTTGGCGGTACCTCGCTTGCGGAAATAGCTGATCAAGTAGACGCCCTCGTAGATCTCGTTTTGCCTCTCATTCTCGCCCTCCTCGACCTTGCTAATGAAGACGTTGCCCAGGAATGAGGCCGATATCGTGCACTAAGAGACATCGAGTTAGCTTGATGGCGGACCAAAGCATGCTCCTAGAGAAATGACTTACAAGGACCATGAAGGGACAGATGGCGACAAATGCCCAGACGACACCCATCTTGGCGTCATGGGTGACCTGCTGCTGCGTGGCGGCGGGCAGGCGGCTAAGGGCCTCAAAGTCCCTCAGGGGTGAGTCCTCGCTGATGCCCGAGGCGTTGTTGAACACGGTCGTCATGATGGTCAGGCCCAACGTTCCGCCAAAGGGGTACGCGACTGCCATGAGAGAAATGACGGCTGCGATCTTCTTGGGGAAGTAGCCGACGCCGTGGAGAGGGACTGGGCCAAAAATTAGTCTCATCGCTCAAAACCACAGAATGAGTGGGAAGGGTCCTTACCGGGCATGATACGGAGACCTGTTCCGACGCCGGTGAGAGCCATCATCCCGTATATGGTAGGGAGGTGTTCTGTCCAGAGTGCCCACGCCAGCAAGCCGATGCCGACCATCTCGAGAATCGAACCGAGAAAGATTGGGGGAAACGTCTTGCGCGGCCAGCCGTTGCACATGAACGCCGAGGCGTAGACACCAACTGCAGAGTTCACTCGTCAACAGAACTCTTGGCTTCACAAATGATGCAGGGAAGAAAGAACTCACCTGCCAAGCCCGGGGTAAAGTACAGCAGCTGCACACCAGACTGGTCCGCCGACCAAAGCTTCACCATTGTGAAGTAGATGTTGCAAAAGTACAGCACAGAGTACATGGCCATACCCGTCGCGAAAGAGGTGTAGAACAAGAGGCCAATATCCCTATTGCGGACCAACTCCCAGGGGATCATGGCCTTTTGCCACGGGAAGCGGCGGGCCAGGGCCTTGCCTGGGGACATGTGGTACTCCCAGACGACGAAAAGGATGCTGATAACGACACCCAAGATAAGCGTCACGAGAACGGCGGGGCTACTCCACGAGTATGTGGCGCCGGCCCAGGTCAAGCCGAGGACGATAAGACCGAAGCCGAATAGGAAGAGGAGCTGGCCTCCGACGTCGATTGTCTGGAGACGCTTTTTGAATGTTGTGCGGCGGCCCGTTTCGGTTGTCTCGTCGAGCTGGGGGATGGGCTGCGGCCCGAGGAGTTCGGAACGAAGGACGAAGTAGAGGATGAACATGCTGACGAAGGCGATGGGCAGGTTAATACCGAAGCACCATCTCCAGGAAGAACCGCTCGTGATGTATCCTGACAATCCATTAGTCTTATAAATCGATGATGATAGGTATGGTCCTTAGCCTGGCTTACCTCCCAATACAGGACCCAGCCCCCATCCCAAGACACCTCCCAAGAAGGAGAAGATTGCCCAGTTCTTGGCGTTCTCGCGCAAGGTTACCTTGTCGGCGATGACGATGCGGACGAGGACGTTCAGACCAGCACACGCCAAGCCTTGGAATCCGCGGCCGAGCAGGAGGACGGGGAAGGCATCCGTCGGTGCGCCGGTGCACAGCGCGCTGCCGACGAGCATCAGCACCAAACAGGTCTGTATCGAGACGTGGCGTCCAAAGATGTCGGCGACCTGGCCCCAGAAGGGGATGAAGGCGGCCGATGTGAGGTTGAAGGCTGCGATGATCCAGTTGAGCTGGCGAGTCTCGTCTGCGTACTTGTTAGATACCAGATGCGGGAGAGATGGGACTTTATAGGAGGGGGGGGCTTACGGAAGTCGGCTGCAATCCAGGGCAAGGCACTTGCGACCTTGCAGATCTCGTTAGCTGCGTTGCATCTTGGGGGGCTCAAGAACGGCTTACGATTGTTACGTCCAAGGCTTGGACTACAAAGGGGAGAACGAGGCCAGCAAAGAGCTTGACTCTGTACTGTAATTGTGCCTTGCGCTCAGACTTGCATGTCGGGCAGGGTCCAGAGGTCGAATTGAATTGGTGACTACAAGTCGGCGTGCTTGTCGGCGTGCTTGTAGTCCTTTCCAATGGCGTTTGGCCGTTCTTGTCTTGGTAACTCGTGCCATCGCTTGCTGGTGCTCCTGTCCCCTCTGGCTTTGTGGCTGGTTTTGTTTGTGTCTTGCCCGAGCCCTTCATGGCCCGGTAAGCCTTCTTCCCAAAGTAGATTAAGACCATGTCGAAGTTGTCTTTTAAGGGTAGGATGGATTCTTTACGTCTCTTTCGATTGAGGAATTATGGCTGGTTCTGCTTGCTTATGCAGATAGATGATTATGTTCTGTCTGTGAGGGTGTCTGGCAGATTGGAAACTTGATGGGTCTGGGGTGGGTAAGAAGGATATGCGTGATTGAATGTTGACTCTATTCTGAACTCGATCCAAGGGGGCCAGGGGTCATATATAAATCCTCGCTAACGACGGTATACTTGATACTCAGATACATGATGGGTAGTTCAGCCTGAGACAGTGGCTAATACAGAACAGACAGAACGGAATGGGCTTGTGTGGAGGCCCAGTAAGACGAGCACACAACTGGTCTAGACGAGTGCGGATGCAGACATCGATGGAGGCAGCCGGTGGATCTTGTCGAAGCGCTCGCCGAGATGTTCCCTCATTCGCAGCAGAAGCACGGAGATAGATGAAGGAAGGGCTTCATGGCCCACACATCACCCGCAGGGAACGAAAACCGGTAGACGCCATAATGCACAGCCCTTGGAGGAGGACGACGACTATCTAAGCACGTACGGTAGTCGATGATTGGCGCCTTTGCGATCATACTGGAGGAATGGGTGTGGCTCATCGTTCCCGTTGTACACGTATGAGACTAAGGATGAAGGGCCATGAAGAGTGTCGTTGGAAGATGGCAGCACGCGGCATGGCGGGAGAGGAGGACAAGCTCTTGCCAAGGCGGGCCAAGGCAGGCCAAGGGCCCAAGACAGCCCTATCGATGGGATTCGGCCAATGGATAAGATGGATTACGGAGTACGGAGACTCCGTACAACATGCACGTATCCACAAGAGGGAAAGCCAAGAGTTAGACGAGTGCGAGCTTGCGAGGGGGGATGTGGAGATGGTTCCAATCCTCTGGATCTCCTCTGGATCAATCTTACGAATTTCTACTTCTTCCCACCTTCAGCTCGTGCATTCAACCAAATCGCGACTAGTCGCATTCGCGTTGCATGGAGAAACAATGAGATGTCTGCAGGATGTCATCCTCGGCCATTCCCTGATAACCACCGTGCCGCTCGAATCGACTTCCCAAAAGGGTTTAAGAGAGAAAAAAAAAAACAACCCTAAAAAGGACTGCGCCTGTCAGCACCAAAGGGCTTATTATGCAGTCATTCGGAATCCGGCACGAGAGAGCCACGACGCAGAGTTCTGAATCTCAGCAAGCGTCGAATCGATTTCCTCTTTGTGATGGCGCTGAGTGCATCAAGAAAAAGGAGAAAAAAAAAAAGAAAGAAAGAAAAAGCATTCACCGTGAGCCTACTTTTGATAGCCCACACGAGACGGCATCAGATACTTGGCGACCGGATGGCTCCGTGTTGGCAAATGCTTGTTGCGCTGAGTGTGAGCCCGTTTATACGGAGCATCCCTGGTGCCGATCCGTATTCCGTACTTGTTTTCCTGAGATTGGACGAACTGACAGACACGGTGGAATACAGACCCATACGGGCACAGGCACGCTGGAGCAACGGGCAACCTCCAACGTGATTGTCACGGAGTGGAGAAACCTCAACCTCGTGCCTAATTTCCGGCTGTTCGAGCGACTCCCCGAACCAAGTGGACCCCGCAATCAGCCTCCTCGAAAGCTTCCCACGCCAACTTCTTTCTTTCGTCAAAAGTAGAAACCCTTCCTCCTCTCTCTCTCTTAGTCTTGCCGGCGGGCGGGCGGCAAAAACGGCACCGGGCACAAAAGCAAGAGGCACGGGGCAGTGGGCGCCGGGCGGGCACGATCCAAAAAGTCTATGCCATGCCACTGCCACGCGCAGTTCGTCTGGAGTCGGTGTGGTGTGGTCATTCTGGTCACATTTTTTTTGCTTCGCCATAAGCTTAACCCCTCTCCCTCCCTTCAGACCAGACTTTAGACGAGGCCCACTGAACACGCACACGAAGCTTTCTTTTTTACATTTTCACATTTCAGAATGCCGGGCCGTCGTGTGTCTGTTGCGCTTTGCGATGTACCTCTTCTGCCTTTCTTTGGGGTCAAGACCGGACAATTAATGTGATCACTGATCGAACTAAATCTCTTCACTAATACCTTCAAGCAAACCCCACAAACCAACGCCCACCGACAAGTTGTTGTTACGTACGCATTACAGTGAGATGCATGACGTGATAGCTGTGCGTCTTTGGGGTTTCCATCTGGTGGCCTCGTGGCTTGGGTCATTGGGGTCGTCAAGCATCACACTCTCACTTCAAGCCCCGGGATATTGAGTCTTTCTTTTGACTTGTTATGCACATTGTGGTATTATTATTTACGTCGCAGTATACTACAGCAGTATACTACAGCAGCCCTACGTGAGCCTCCTCTCCACCCCAAAGTCACCTAGATCGACAAAACCAGGCCAGCCCACTTCCAATGCAACCGCCTTCTTCGTCCAAAGTTGAACGACGGCGATGGCTTCGAAGCTACAGACTCAAGCACATCACCTTCTACCCGGATCGATTTATGCCAGGGTGTACCAGTTGGGAAGCGGGTCTTTCTTGTCCCAGAACCGGATTGTGACATCGCAGTTCTTGTAGACCGCGAAGCACTCGTTGGCGCCGCCAAACGACGTGGGGAGAAGAATCCAGTAGGCCTGGTCAAAGTTGCCAAGGTTGAAATTGTACGTCAGGTCGACGTATTGGGAGTTGCTAACTCGCCTAGTCAGTAAAGCACACTTTGCTCCGCTGAGACAATGGGAGACTCACCCAGGGACGGAGTTGGTCATGGACTGGAACTTTGCGTTCATGACACCGCCGTGGAAGCCGTCCACGTAGTATGTCCCGCCGACATTGGTGGGCAGCTTGTGGCCCATGTGGTGCTTGGCCTTGCCGCAGTTTGAGCTCGTGATGATGTCGCACTGGACCGCCGCATTGCAGATGTCAGCCAGTCCGAGGGCGAGGACCAGCGCCGAGGCGACCTTGGAAGGTGCGAGAAGAGACAGGGAAACCATCTTGTGTGTGTGTGTGTGTATAAGAGAGAAGGTAGTTGTTGACTAAAGAGTGTAAGTCAAAAAAAAAAGTATGTGATTGAAATAGAGGTGGTGATGTTGGTACTTTGGACTGTCTTGGCGAGATTTGGACCCGTGGTATATATCTCAAAATACCCCGGGCTCGGCTTGGAAATCCACGATCCAGCGATTGGGTGACGGCTTCAAGACACCATATCTCGGGGAATGCCATTATCTCACATAATTTCCACGACTTAGTCTAGCCTATGTTCGATATTGATGCACTTTACGTGCTGATATTATTTCTCGTTGAAACTTAACCGTGTCTTGATAAGTCTGACTCGAGCAATCTGGAGCAACCTCGAGCAAAGTTAACTCCAGAACAGGTACAGATCGGAATACACTTGCCAAGACCCTGGTGAAGTTTGATGGTTTCTAGACTAGAAGCTCAGGCTAGCATGATAAGTTAATATGTGCGAGTCAGTGTTTGGGCAAATATCGTAATTATACGAAGTCGTCAGAGCTTTTGTCTGAGCTTCTAGAAACTCTAAACATGCTCGCGGGAAATAGTCGGCCGGTTCAAAGCTGGTATGTGCTTCTGCGATCCTCAATTCCTCATTTCAACAAGGTCACCTGCGGCGCTGCGCAGCTTGCTAGCAGTAGAAATCCAAACTCAATTCCGAGTCAGAGCAACTCATGTGAGGATACTCGTTAATATTCGTTATCTTGAGTCCTCGAGAGACCTCATGATTTGGCGGCAGGCAAGTTCCGAGAGCGAGAGAAAGCGGGCGAAGTGGGATGGATAAACGAGGAGGTTGAGGAGTTGAGGGGGTCCACGATGATGGAGGGGGATTCAAGCTGAGGGGGGGGCAAAAAAAGATATAATAAACGACAGAGCTTCATGCTTAACGACAAGCTTTTCTGCCAAGCATCGCTCACTCCGGTTCGCTCTCTCTCCGCATTCTTTCAGTCCTCACAGACCAAGCACAATCCTTTCAAGCCATACTTTCTTTTTTTTCTCCAAAGGAATAACCTTCAAGCTTCTAAACATGCTTCGTCTACTCTCTCTGGCGTTGGCCCTCGGCCAGGTGCACGGTGGCGTGGTCGCCGCATGGACTCGTCGGCGTCGTCCCTGGAGGGCATGTCATCCCTGCTCGAGAGGGACGCGGCCGACCTGCCGACCTACAAGCCCGAGGAGGCCTTTGACTACAACAAATGGACGCCCGACTCGGCTCTCTACGAGGGACTCCCCATGATGGACAAGCAGGTTGAGGTCGACGGCAAGACGTTGACCTACCAGGACTTCAACATCTCGGCCCTCACCACGGAGCAGTTCAAGGAGCACTACATGAGCCTGCCCGAGTACTTTGACTCGGAGGGCAAGTTCGTCCCTACGGATGACGAAGTCAAGGCTTACCAGTACGTGACTCCTCTGTACCACTCATCATGGTATCTCTCATGATGGCTGGAATTTTCCACTAACATTGCACCGCAGAGCCTCCATGGTCGCCCTCGCCAGCAACCCTGACGCGGACATTCACGTCCCCGCCAGCCATGTCAGCAAGAGAGCCTTCCCGGACATGTGCTTCTACGACGACAGGCTGCGATGCTCCAGCAGCTGCACCAACTATGTCTACCGCGGCGTGAGACAGTCCTTCAACAACAACGTCTACGGGAACTACCACTACGTCTCGGACCCCCAGTGCGGTGTCGGCTCCATCACCAAGACCGTCTCCGTCACCCACACCTCTGGCGTCAGCATCTCAGGTACCGCTGGTATTCCTATAGTAAGCCTTTTCCTTCCATGTTCGAAAGGTTCGTGAGGTTAACCCAAGTATTTTAGTTTGGTGGAAAGAACACTTGGACCAAGGCTGCCTCTACCTTCCTCAGCACCTTCGGCCTCAGCATCGGCCACACTCCCGACAGTGTCACCACCGGTATCAGCTACGCCGGCACCTGCGGCGCCTTCAACGTCTGCTTCCTGTGGGAAAGACCCCATTTCAGTGTCGACAAGGGCGTTATTGTCGTACGTTTAAACCACCAAATATCCCACAGCTTAGATGGAGGGATTGTGCGCTGACAAGAGACTTTTGGAATATAGACCCAGTACATCGACGCCAACTCCAAGAGAGCCTGCAAGGCCCCCACCGTCACACCCTACGAGGTCCATGCCGTCCACACCGCCACGGATGCCGGCGGTGCCAACGCCCACGGACTGTGCTACTCCATGGGCTACCACGGATGCGGTGGCCGTGTGACCGCTTCCAACCAGATGATTCGCTGCCCCAACAACTACTAGATTTTGGGCAGTGCCAAATCGATATAGTTGTGGCGGTGATGCTGGTGGGTGTAATAGCTACCCTGCCCTCGGGAGTTTGCGATGACCGCGAGCGGGCTCATCTTGAAGTATCCGGTCGCCGAAGATGCGCTCCTTAATATGAGATGGGGGGGCAGAGTTTGGGTTACGAATTTGAGCCTCATGACGGACTTGGGGTTGTATATGCTTATGGTACATATGGGAAAGAGACCGTAGTATCGGGAATATGCGGTGGAAATGGAGGCTGGTTTTTTCACTTCAGTATTTAGGATTCCAACACTTGGATATAGTTGCTATAATAATCTACCTCGTGTATCAATTTCCAATTTGTATGCGGGTGCCTGAACCCCTCAGTAGATTTGGATGTACGGCGATGAATTTGAGAGACTGTATCATTGACACTTCTGAGCCGCGAAGTCTTATGTGTGGACATTATCACACTTCTGCAACTTGGAGAGAGGGAGAGGGCAATCAAAGAGGAAATGAGACTTTGCTTACACGAAGCAAGAACAGTACGGAAATAGTGAGGATCGGCATTCTTAACGAGAACTGGATCTTGATTCTTGACTCTTAGTGAGATGACTTACTCGTTGCCGTGTGCCGGAGTCCCGAACTGTCATGTCATGTAAGTTGAAGTGGGGCCGAATCCGTGCCGGAACCGAAGGGCCGGCAACTCGGGTGTCGTGAACCGTAGATGAGCCCAAAGTTCCCCCAACTTGTGGCCGAAGAGTAAGTCAAAGCTTGGTCCTACCAGTAGGTAGGGCGATTAAAACACTGCACTCTCTGTCTGCGTTTTTTTTTTTCAATAGTGCAAAGCAAAAGATGGAGGCATATCGTAATCGAAATGCCAACTGCCTATTCGTAGTGGCTAGGCTTCTCAAGGACGGAGAATGTGGACAGGAGCTGTCATCGGCAACTTGGCGCGGAGCTGTACTTCGTATGCCAGATGCAGATGGCGGGGAAAAGGGACCACTGCTGAAGCACTGGATGCAGTGTCACCAGCACCCCACGCGAAGGGCGGTTCCGCAGCCCCGGAATATTCTCGGTAAGGTCCTGCGGCCTCTCCCTGATGGCGCCTCCCTTCCCCGCGAGTGACCGGTGGTGGTTTTCCCAAAACGGACGAACCAGACGAGAGGCAAATGATGTTCCTTTGAGCGTCAGCTGGCGGCGGCGGCGGCGGCAGGTTCCCCAAGTCTCGAGGTAAGGTTGGTAAGGTAGGCGCATGCTGCAGGTGACCCGGACTGACGGTTTGCTTCCCACTGTGGAGCACACTCCCGCAGTGCTCCGTACGCCATAAGGTAGGTACTAGGTAGGCACTTCCATACCTTACGGCGGGGCGGGCTGCTTGCGGTCCTGCGGTCCTGCCAGATGGGCGCTGGTCCAATCTAAGGAATCCACGCACACTGCCTCTCCCACGTTTGTCAACGTCCTTTGATCCGAACACACAGGTAGCAGACACGAGAGGGGATTGATGATCCACCATCGGCAATCCAGCCGTCGTCCACAGAGGGCGCCGGGTTGGGCTCTTTCCATGGCTGGGCCCGGGGTTGGTCGCTGGCGTTCGGCTGGCTCGGTCCAGGCACCCTGATTCGCGAGCTACTTGCGCTTCCCCGGCCGGCGCCAGGCCGTTCTGCTTTTCATCCGATGCACCTTGACCTTTTGGAGAGTTGTGTCTTATAGATCGCCAGATGCCCTCGGGAAGGTGGAAGAGTTCTGCGGAGGGACGGGAGGCTGTGGCGTACAAGAGAGATTCTGGCCTCGACTAGGCAGGTATTTCACCAACATCTGATGCTTTGAAAGATTTGAAGATTTAAATGAGGCCTGTTGGGTACAATTGGAGGTTATTACTAGTAGGCAGGCCAGCGACTAGTCGTGCTTCAGTGACAAGCAGCATCGTCATTGCTAGTGTCACCTGAGCAAATACTCTCCAACACGATCGTGAGGGGTTGTCTCTCGCTCCGGAGCAGATATAGCCTGAACCAAAGTCGAGCATCACGTCGCGGTTGAACTTGCGCAATTCAACCCGGACTCTTGAAGAAGCGCCGGAAGCTTTTCTCGACTTCACAAGCGACCACTGGAAGACCAAATCTTCTTGTCGTTGCTTATTACCAACTCTCAAGCAGCGGACCACTACTTCATACCCAAAAGGACCTGGCAACTCGGTGACGGAAGAGAAGACGACGAAGACCCCCGCACGCCAAATAGACCAGACCAACCGGACCCCAAGCTGGACAGACTTTCCGCTGGTCCTGATCGCCGCCGTAGTTGCTTGGCTCGCAACTGGGCACATGTCAGTAACTGGGACTCGATAACAGCAACCCAGAACCACGATCCAGCAAGGTTGCAAGTTTCACAAGGCAGTACGAATACAGGCTCTGTTTCTCTACTTGGCTTTTGTGGCCGTCACTGCTGCTTGTTGTCATCGCTCAAGGGAAGAAAGGCGAAGCAAGTACCTTACCTTGGTACGGAGTACGAAGTACACCTTCCTCGTTGGACCCCTGGCCTTTTCCCCAATCAAGTCATCCCGCGGGGGAACTGAAGTGGACGATTTGTTACCCACAATTTCCGTCTTCCCCTCTTTTCTCTCATTCTCTCTCTCCGGCTCCAGTTCTTCTCTTCAACCTCCACTTGTGGAATGCGACTGAGACTATCTCATAGGTTTCTCAACTTTGAACCGGCTCACCATCGATGATCAACCTGGATACCGGCACGGTTACAGCTACTCGGATTTGCTGAAGAAGTCTACTCCAAGGCAGTTGGAACATCAGTCTTCAGCGATCCATCCATCCGTTCACCCATCCAACTT